CTGCTTGCTGTTCCTTGCTTGTCCTTGGATCCTCGGTCTTCATCCCCACCCTGACACTAGTTTCCTCTGACAATTTCAGTCTATACCAGGGTCTCTGAACTGTTCCACCATGACCCTTTGGTGATGATAAAAATATAAAGTGTTACGGCTCACAATTTAAAACTAATAATAAAGTGTGCACGTTCACAAATGATTTCCTTTTCTGTATATATTAAAATAAGTCAAAGTTGTACTCAAAATCGATTCTCCAAGTATTTAGTGAACCTTTTCTATTGCTAGGACTGTCATGATTTCTTGAAAAGGAGAAAGAAAACTGAATAACAGCTGGGATGCTGAAGGCGCAGGTGTGTTTCCCTGTTGAGTTTCACTCATAAAGTGAGGTGCAGGGAGCAAGAGAGGGCTCCCTGCTCTGCATCCTGGGGGCTCTGTTCTCTCTTCTCTTGCATGAAGGAAAGAAGCTCCACATCCCAGCCTTCTCCTGTAGGCCTGGTAATCTATTACTCTCTCATCCAAAATGCCTGAAGAAGATTCTTACTTCATTTCTTTAGGAATTCCTCCTCAACAATGATGGAGCCAATGCAAAAAAAACACTAGTCCTGGACTTTGTGATGGCATCTTAGGGTGGCTACTGGCAGGCAGATGTGGCAGATGTGTCCTGGAGGAGCAAATCCTTACAATCATGCTCACATGAGAAGCCTGACCTTTCCTACTGCACTGTCTTCTACAAATGCTTTATTTTTTTTACTGTATTTATTGATTTTAGAAAGAAAGGGAATGGGAGAGACAGAGACAGAGAGAAAGAAAGATTGACTTGCTGTCCCACTTATTTATGCATTCATTGGTTGATTCTTATATGTGCCCTGACCAGGGATTGAACCTGCGGCCTTGGTGTATTAAGACAACACTCTAGCCAACTGAGCTACCTGGCAAGGGCACAGATTCTTTCTAAAAGTTATACATTTTCACATCAAGTAACCAATATAATTCAGTATTATGCACTGAAGACACAAGAAGTGAACAGCTATTGGCTATGGGAGAAAGTCAAAATCAGATACTAGTCAGAAAACCCATGCATGGCTGATTGTACATCTGTCAATTTTAAAGTTCCATGTATCTTTCATGTTAGTTTATTAGTTCAGCTTTTACTTTGCTTTTATACACCTCAATTTCTTTTCTGAGAGTAAGTCTATCCAATAAAGCAATAGCAACAACAATAACCACAGCAATCACAACACATTTTCATGCTCTATTACATATGAATGCTGCCTTCTGCTTAGTTTTGTCCATTTTTAAAAAATAAAAAAAGTTGATGTCAGATTCTAAAAAATTCAGCAACTGTGTTTATTCTGTAAAAATAAGAATATGCAACTAGCAGACTTCTAGTTTATCTGAATAAAGTATACTTTCAAGTCCTACTTGCCAATCATCTAATTTCATATAGGAAAACATTTTCTAACTATACATTAATATTCAAAAAGTAATTTGTTTGAGGGTATACATTTTAAGACATTCCCAGATTCAAAATTCCTGTGAAACTACAATTGTGCAGTTGTACTTGTGATCTACACACAGAACATGAAAAAGTAACTACCTTAACAGAATCCTGCACATAGAGGTAACTCAAAAATATATGCTGACTAAACAAAGTGACCATTGCTGTGATGAAAACTCCAGGGTTTTGCTGGTGATGACTACTGAGCAATCAGCACAGGTTAATGGCATGACCTAGTGTGCTATTCCTCTGTATTAGTGATTTTAATTTATCTCAGTAAAAGCAGGGGGTGAAAAGGGCTAACATCTCCCTACCTCTCAGAATCTTAAATAGTCTCTCATGCTGCCAGTATCTCTTTCAACTTATTTACCGTTGAGTCTTTAACTCTGTTATTTATAGTTATAATTTATAGATTTATAAGAATTTTGTTAATGCATCTTGACAAAAACTTGAACAAGTTCCAACTAGGCACTTACATGCCAATGCTTAAAAATTACCCGCAGAACTAAGGGATATATTTTCATCCTAAAATATTCTGGTTTAATATCATAATTACTGGACAAAAAACCCAAACATCTACAAAAATATGTAAAACAGCAAACTACATTTTAGGTAAGGCTAATTTATTCTGAAGAAACTTTTTTAAAAACTCATACGTAGTTTTAATTGGAATGCCTAAACTTAACCCTAGGAGAAAATACTATGTTTTATTTATACAGATGAATAACAGTTGGAGTAAAAGCAAACTAGACGTCTGCAGAAAATATAAGAAACCATTAATTTTGGTCTCAAAAGAATATGACAATTTCATTTACTTAAATATTTTACATTTTAGACTTGTGCTCTGGGGACATTTTTTAACATTAAAAGGGTAATTTTATCAATAGCAGACGAAACTGGAGTGGTACTCAGAATAAGCATTAAAGTAGCATTATTAACAAAGAATTCATTACTATGATTTGTGTTAGAATTTTAAAACCGTTTGCCCTCTGCCTCCCCCCCCCCCCATCAGTCTCCTATGACAAACTTAGCAAGGCAGTGTGTTACAGCCAAAGGGCACTGATGTAGGAAATAGAGGAGAAAAGATTTTATTATTTATTCTAAAAATCCTCTCTTCGTTCACATTAAAGCATCTGCATATGAACAAATGAATATCACCAATAAACACAGAGAAACAGACACCATTGCTTTCTCTCTGAAAATCATCACTTCCTGATCTCCTATCAAGATCTAAGTTCTCCTAGGGTGGAGAACAGCAGCCGCTGACTCTCAGAAATGCAAGCAGATTCCAGTATCAAACCCTTGGTCCCTGCAGTGGTATTTTCACGCTGGAAGCCAGTTAACCAGTGGCCGCTTCTCATAAACTGAAAAATGCTCCATTTGACCAGGCACAGTGGAAAGAGGCTGCGGGCGAGCCTGGGAGAAAGCTGTGAGACAGCAAGTCTAGCGCTACAGAAGCCAGAGTTTTGTCAACATCCGAATAAAGGCCAGGCCCCTAGGGCCAATAACAGCATGTAGAGATGTGTTTATACTCCCCTCTTCCCAGTGTGAAGAAGAATGTACAGTCAACTCCGAGCTTTGAAGGTATTCTGTTTCTCACATTTTAAATATTTGCTTCCTTTGTTTCAATCTCTATATTTTTCCCACATTTTATGACACCACTTTTCTTCCTTAAACTCTTGTCTACATCTTTGGTCTCAGACTTGACATTTAAAAAAAATATCACTGCGGATCCCCCCAAGAGCTATTGCTCATATGTGTTACATAGATCAATATTTGCCATGTTCAAAATTAAAATGGAGAAGTTTGGAAAACACATAGGCACAGCACACATTCTACCAGCGGTCAGAGCCATGCTGTCACACACTATATAGCCTTGGAAGGCTCCAATGCACACCTGTGGGAGAATGAAAGTGAAAAAAATAAAAGCCACCTAAGTGTTATCATGAGAAAAGTGTTGACCTTCTCAACCCCCTGAAAGTGGACTTCCTGAGGTTCCTGGATAGCAAACTCAAAATTGCTGCTTGAGCTACATACTAAGGCAAACATTTGAATGGTTTTCATCCCTTTCAGTATCAATTTCTACTCTGCCTCTAAATGTTGAAAAGGAAGAACAAAGGTGAGTTGTCACTACTTGACTTCATGAATTATAATGTTACAGTACTCAAGACCATGGAGTACTAAAAGACTGAAGTGGAGAAGACCAATCATACCAACTGTTAGTGAAGATGTGTAGAACCCGAAATACTCATACACTGCTGGTAAGAGTGTAAAATAATACAACCATTACGGGGAAACAGCTGGAAGTTTCTCTAAAAAACTTAAATGGATATTTACCATATACTGTAGCTGTTCTGCTACTAGGTCTTTACACAGGAAAAATGAAAGTCTATGGTATGTCCTAACAGAAAATGGTACCTTTTCTTGTGTCCTAACAGAAAATGTAGTACCTTTATTTGTAATGGTGAAAGCTGGAAACAACCAAATCCTATTAACAGGCAAGTTAATAAGTAATTTATGGTATATCTACACAATGGAATACAATTCTACTATAAAACTGAATGAACCATTAGTATATGCAATGACATGAATGAGTCTATAAATACTTTGTGTAGTAAAAGAGCCTACTCAAAATGGTGCATTAAGAGGATGAAAAGATAAATCATGTACTGAGGTAAAGTCTTTGCAGAATGCATTTCAGATAAAAGATTTCTAAGCAAAATATACAAAGAATTCTTAATATTCAACAATAAGAAAAGTTACAAATTAATTTTTTAAATATATTTTATTGATTTTAGTACAAATTAATTTTTAAATATATTTTATTGATTTTTTTACAGAGAGGACGGGAGAGGGATAGAGAGTTAGAAACAGGGATGAGAGAGAAACATCAATCAGCTGCCTCCTGCACACCCCCTACTGGGGATGTGCCCGCAACCAAGGTACATGCCCTTGACGGGAATCAAACCTGGGACCCCTCAGTCCGCAGGCCGACGCTCTATCCACTGAGCCAAACCGGTCAGGGCACAAATTAATTTTTTAAATGGGTAAACTATATAGACATCTCATCAAATAAGATAAATGCAGATGGAAAATAAGCCTATGAAAAGATGCTCAACATTATATGTCATTGGGGAATCACAAATTAAAACAATGATAAAATACCACTTTAAACTTACTGGAGTTGCCATACTCCAAAACACTGACAACACCAAATACTGGTGTGAAAGTAGAGCTAAAGGAACTCTCAACCATTCCTGGTGGAAACTAAATATACTCTTGCCTTATTATTCAACAGTCATTCTCCTCGGTATTTACCCAAACTAGTTAAAAACTTATGTCCACACAAACACCTGCACATGAGTGTTTAGAGCAGCTTTATTCACAATCAATAAAACTTTGAAGCAATCAAGATGTTCCTCATTCGGTGAATGGATAATCCAACTGTGGTTCATCCATACATGGTGATACAATGAGATGAGCTATCAAGCCATGAAAAGACATGAAGGAACCTTAAATACATTTTGCTAGGTGAAAGAAGCTAATCTGAAAAGGTTACAGACTATGTAATTCCAATTATAGGACATTCTGGAAAAGGTAAACACGTGGAGACTGTAAAAAGATCAGTGGTTGCAAGGGAAGGAAGGGAGGTGGAGCACAAAGGATTTTTTTTGGGTGGGGGATTAAAATTATTATTCTCTGTATTGCATTGTAATGGTGGATACATGTCATTATGCATTTGTCAAAACCCATAAAAAGATCAGTGGTTGCCAGGGGAAAGGGGAAGTGCAGCACGAGGAATTTTTAGAGCAATAAACCTATCATTTGT